TAGAAACATCTCCAAACAGAGTCTTGCTTATTCCAGGCCATATTCAAAGACTCGAATAGGCTTCTGATAGGTAGATTATAAGAAAATTTACTTTGCACTAGAAAGATAACACTTTCCTCAGAATAATCGCACAATTGTAGCTGGATTCAGCATAGTATTTGGCAAGTACAAATATAGTCACAAGAGGAAGCTTTCTCACCTTCAGATGTGTTCCAGAAGGGAACTGGGAAGAAGGAATGAAAATAGAGCATAGTGTACAAGGGAAGATTTGACGGACAGAGCTAGAAACGTGAGACAGAGGCTCAGTACATGCACACACGGGAGACGCACATGTACACGGATGTCTACAGGCCTCGCGTCAGCAAACATGACCTCTGTTTCATAGCTAAGAACTTCAGGATCAAAACTCAAAGGGAACCACAGAGATCAAGGGATGGTCTTAGAAATGCAGAGTAAACTAAGTGATGGCAGATATGTCCAAGGACAGAGCATTCAGCATACTGAGCACCTGTTGCACGTGGAGCTGTGTGCTGGCTGTGCAGACAGATGGAGGAATCAATAAGCCATAGTCCTTGGGCCCGGGGCACCCTCAGTCTAAAGGGAAGGCAGGATACAAGCGAGTCATTTGAGCATAGCGTCGGAACTGGCCATGAGGAGTGGTGAATGAAGGCTGTGAGAGCCCAGCAGCAGGGAGACAGGAGGTATGAGATTAGGAGGTCTGAGACAGGAAGTAACCTTGGAGCCAAGTGGAGAAGAATGAGACCTCACAAACACAGGCAAAATGCGAAGAAAGTGAGACAAGTTTTCACAGTCATGTTAGCAATGAAAAGCAACTGGAGTTTAAAGGGTGTTCTCTTCACCAGCTTGAAAACCAACCATAGTACATGCAGACTTGCCCTTTTTGCCATAAGTGATTTCCAAAAGGTTTTGCAAAGGACAGTGATCGTTTTCAACATATTTCAGTGAAGAAGTGCCTCACCAATGGAAGGAACCACACTGTGAACTTGTGAGATTATCTAAATAACCTCTCATTTGTCTTCCCCTGTCCTGTGTGGACTTTACGTAGCACCTGTACTTAGTGCACTCATGAAATCAGGTCCTCCCTTGTGTGTTCCATTGGTTAGTTCCAAACCCAAAGGCTCCTAAGTGAGTTTTATGTTTATCCACTAAGTCCCACTCTACCCGACACAAACTTACTTACTCATATACAATTACACTTCAGGTGGCAAAAGGCAGGCAATTTTAATTTTTTGTCTGTTTGGTTTTATTTTCTGAAACAAGGTCTCATTGCATAGTCCAGGCTGGCCTTGACCTGACCATAATATGTAGCACTGGCTAGCCTTGAACTCATGGGGGTCCTCTTGCCTCAGTCTCTTGAGTACTGGGATCACAGATGTGTGCCACTGTGCCAGGCTAGGATTAACTCAAAAAGAAAAAAGCAATTGAGTTTTGAAAACTACCATATTTGCAAAGCTGACTTAATATTTTTAATTTTCAGACTTCATTTAAAACCACTTTGCAGCTTCCCTCTACCTACACAGTAACTCTGAAGATAGGTCAGAGCTGTAGCTACAACTTTGCAACAAAGAAACCAACATGAAGGTCAAGGTTAGCTGCTTTCCCAAGGAGGCTCAGAAATCATCACCTGCTAAAACAGAGATATTTTCTGCAGTGAGTGGAGTTGCATCTTCAGACCAGGGTTTGGTCCACTGAGTCACAGAGCTGTTGTTTGTAGAGGCAGGTCATTCCGCCTCTGACTGAGTTAGAGCCCTTGAATCTTGATAATATTGAAACATCTATGAATTTATAATGGAAGGTCATGTGCCGCACGGTCCAGCCAAGAAGGTAGAAGGCAGGAGTCTATTCTTATCTTCCAGTATTTCTCCTCTGATCAGCAGACCAGAATGTGTTTCACTATGGTTGGAGTAAATAAAGACTCAGGATGATTTTTTTTTTTCAAACAAAGACAAAAAATTCAGTTGTCCTGAAGAACAATGATAATGTGAAACAGATCAACCGTAAATATGACTTGAAGGGTTATGTTCAGTGCATTTTTCTTAAGTTGAATTTCTTTTTTTTTTTTTTAGAATATTCAAGTTCCGTACAAACATTTCTAGGTTAAAATGCATGTCAAGGTTACACTTTTTTTTCCCCACTACTGAGGGTTGAACCCTGGGCCTTAACACTGAGCTATACCCCAGCCATTTTTATTTTGAGACAGGGTCCCACTAAATCACTAAGTTGCCCAGGATGGGCTCAAACTTGATCTTCCTGCCTCAGCCTCCCAAGTGCTGGGATTACAAGCATGCACCACCACACCTAGAAAAATCATCATTTTAGATTGCTTCCAGCTTTGTGGTTCAGAATTCAGAAAAGGCTGAACCAGGCAGGTCTCTGTCTCCCAGGACATGCCATGCAGAAGCAGTCAGGGGTGGCTGGGATGCCATCTCAAATGTTTCCACTGCAGTGTTCTCTCCCAAGTCCAGCAGTTGGGGAGTCTCAGGAGCTCATTGGGGCTGTTCACAAGGGCACCTGGACATGAAGGTATCTGTGGGTTGTCAGGCTTGCTATGTGGTAGACAGTTTCCCTAGAGTGCTAAAGGAAATCCAGGCAGTAACTTTTTCCCACCAACCCCTGGCATTAACATTGTGATCACAAAATTCAACTGATTCCAGTACAGTTGCTGAGGCTGCTCTGTGTCAATGGAAGGAGTACCACCAGGAAAATCTTCAGACTCCTTTTAAAGCTGCCCTCAAGTCAGGCATGGTGAGATACCCCTGTAATCCAAACACCCTGGGAGGCTGAGGCAAGTTTGAGTCCACAAGTTTGAGTCCAGCCTGGACAACTTAGTGACATAGCAAGATCCTGTCTCAAAAATTAAAAATATTAAGAAGAGGAGGGGTAGTGGGATGAAGCTCAGTGTGAAGGCCCTGGGTTCAGTCCCCAGTGCCACAGAAGTTGCTTTTATATAAAAGAAAATAGAACTGACACATGTTTGTCTTTGTGTTCTTTAAAATAAGCACTTTGCACGTATTTTGCTAAGCTAGCACTATGGAGACTCCTTAAGGCCCTGCACGTTGGTGGGTTCATTTTGTGCTTTCAGAACCAAGCGCAGGGTTTTAGGTTACGGAAAGTGCTGCCAAATGTTTGTTAAACCGAACAGGAGCATGAGCAGCTCAGGATCTCTGCTATGGTGAAAAGAAGGCACTCTGCGACGGCCAAGGTTCTGCTTCTGATTAGTTGGGAAGCTTATCCTCCTGATAATACCGCTCTAGAAGGAGAGGACCCAAAACCTTGGCGTTTTTAAGGAAAGGGAGTCTCCGTAATTCAGCAGTCCTGTCTTCCTCTCTCTTCCTCCCCTGCCAAGACCCAGAGCAGTTAGGTGACAAACCAAGTGGCAAAGGCAAGGTCTCTAGTCCTTGCTTTTGGCCACCAGCAAGCATTGTTCTGTCAGTAGTTGGGCTGTGGCTTCGTGAAACACTGCAGAGACGGGGCGGGTAGATCTGTTTTTGTATCCAAGGGTGAGATGAGACTTCTGCCAGTCTGTTGCTCTTGGCAGGAAGCCTTTTCCGCCCTGACCTTCCCATCCATTCCACCAAGTAGATAAGAAAGGACCCAGACAGATCTTACCAGGAGGCCATGGGACCCCACATTGCTCATCTGAGATACAGGTCTAGATTAATTTCCTGACTCTGAGTCTCCCAGTAGAGTCTTGTACTTTACGCATCTGGGACAGAGCTGAGTCTGGAAGTCTTCCTGGGATGTACGGAAAGTCTACGAGGAAGTAGCTCTATGTATTCCGCATCACACTGATGTAAGTCTTCATCCCGGCCATGGGGGTCAGGGGCACAGAATGTCCAGTCACCTACTTGGCATCCCAAAGACATGGTCTAGGTAGGAATAGCTTTTTTAAAGTGATGACCACTCTACTGATTAGCACAAGGGAAGAAGTCACACTTCGCCCCTTGAGGCTTGCATAGCTTCTCTTGACGGAGGCTCCTGCCTTGACTTGTGTTGGGACTACATTCAAGGATTTTGCAGTTTAGTAAAGGCCATGTTTATTGAGGAAAGCAAATGAAAAACTAGCCTAAAACTGTCTAAAACTTGTTCTTAAACTAATTTTTGAAGATACTAAATATATCCTGAATTCAGTTCATTGAACTGATGCTGGTGTGAGTGGCTGGCTGATAGCGAACATTCAGTTTATGTTAATTCCCCTTCTCTTTCTCCTCCTCCTTCTCCTCATTCCTTTGTTTGTTTGTGGTCCTGGGAATTGAGCACAGGGACTTCACACTGAGCTACATCTCCAGCCCTTTTATTGTTTTTTATTTGAGACAAGATCTCGCTAAGTTACTACGTTCCCCAGACTGGGTTTGAACTTGTGACCCTTTTGTCCCAGCCTTCCAGAGTGCTGGGATTACAGGCGTACACCACCACACCCAGCCATTAATTCTCCTTCTTTTCACCACAGCATTATACAGGAAGTGATTCACCTTCGCAATAGTCAGTATTCCTCCTAAAAATTCTGAGTCTTAATTAGCAAGGAAAAGGAATTCATCAACTTTTGGTCTCTTGAACTTACTAAGGCAAAACAAGCTTCCAACCTCCTTGTATTATTATTAATTAGGGTTCTTCACAGAAGTGTGTGTGTGTGTGTGTGTGTGTGTGTGTGTGCATCTGTGTGGTTTTGTGTGTATATAAGGAAATTATTTTTTACAAAGAATTGACTCATGTGATTATGGAAGCTGACAAATCCCAGGATCAGCAACCTGCAAGCTGGAAACTCAGGAGAACCAAAGTGTAGCTCCAGTCTGAGTTGGAAAGCCTGAGAACTGGGGTAGCAGATGGTGTAGGCCAAATGCCAGCAGATTGGAGACCCAGGAATAGCCGGTGATTCAGTTCAAGTGTAAAGACAGGAAGAAAAACAGTGTTCCAGCTCTAACCAATCAGGCAGGAAGAAATTTCCTTTCATAATGAACCAGGGTTTTTGTTCTATCTAGGCCTTCAACAGATTGGATGAGGCCCACCGACCATAGTGAGAGAACCTGCTTTACTCTGCCTACTGATTCAAATGGGCATCTCATCTGGAAACATCCTCTCAGACATAACCAGAGAACTGCTTGGCCAAACATCTGGGCACCCGGTTGCCCGGTTACATTGACACATCAAATTACCCATCACTCTTCTTTTCCACTGAGCATTAATCACACCGGGATTTCAGGTGGAATTTTCATGGTTGTAACAGAAACGACTTTCTGGTTAGCCCTGTTTTATAAGGAGGGATGTATAATGTAGTCAGTGCTTGTTATGTTTTACTTTATGCCCAGAGCATTTCAGTTGACTAAATGAGATACTCCCTTTACTGCTGTCCCTGGAAATATAATATGTGAGGAAAACGGGGAACCAGCGAGTGAAGAGCAGTCTACCCAAGGAAGAAATGCCCGTGCAAGCTCTCTTTCTTCACTGCAGGAGGTACCAGGCCTGCTTCCTGAGGCATCACAGAGAAGAAGGTAAAGCTGCACAGTCGTCCTGAGACTCAATGCCATGTGCTGCCTGCAGTTGGAAAGCAAACCATCTACACAGTGGAATCCACGAGGATTCAGTGGTGATGTATCTAAAATTCAGGAATCGTTACTTTGCTCTCCTTCACGAACCAGGAGCCTTTTCTCCCTCGATGGCAGAAGGTCTTGGCTTGCACAGTGAGGGCTGCAGGTACAGTGGTTAAGAGGAACCATGGCCACTGCTCCGATTGCATAGCATCCAGTGCAAGACCAAATGCGGGGAACCTGATAGCATCAAATTCTAAAATAAAAGTATAATAATGGTGGAAGAAGGATCTTTGTGCTTGTCTTAATAGTGTTCATAACACTTATACTTACCGTGCTAGAAGGGAAGTACACATAGGTCCCCATGCGAGAGTTTGGAAGGAGGAGCAAGTGAACATGAGTCACTTATCCTAAGGTCACTTAGCAAGCAAGTGGCAGAGATACCTGCAGAGGTTTGAATAATACCACTTCTTCTAGTTGACTGAGTCGTCTTTCACTCAGACCAAACCACAGTCTGCACCAGGAACCCCCTTGGGGTGCTGCTTGCCCTGCCAAGTCCCCAGGCATTGCTGGGCAAAGTGACCCTTTCTTCTCTCTGCCACACCCTGGGGTTCCAGGGATATGACCTTGGCAGATGAAATGGAAGGCCAGCGCTGGTGGCCTGGGGGCCTGTCCTCCAGACCCGGACAATTGTCCTAAGTATTTTACTCTCCACTCACCCTATCGCACAACTAACCGTCCAGCAACTTCATCTTCTTCAGCACTTTGCCCCACTCTTACACTTGACTTTTCCCCGGGACGTTTCTGTTCCTTTGGTAACAAGAATCTTGGTGCCTAATTTTAATGGCACAGCCAGCAGGATGACCTTTGCCCCCTTGGTCTCTCAGCGCAGACAGTGAAGGCCTCCTCCCTCCAAGGTGTAGGCTTAGGTGTGGCCTGATAGTGAAGAAAGCAATCATGGCCCCTGCCCTTATACAGCTTATAGTCTGGCGAGAAAGGCAAACATCATTGAAAGAATATGCATCAATGTAAAACTAGCCAGTGACCGGTGCCACAAAAGGAAGACACAGTGTGTGAGAAGCCTGTAAAGGGAGTGAAGCAGCAAGAGAGGGGAGGAGAGGTGTCCCAGCACCTGATACCCAGCTCAGAGCTGCAGGACAGAGAGCCTGAGCCGCAGCCCGAGCCCTGAGGCAGCCAGAAGGGCAAGGTGCCTTTGAGTAGCAGAGTGGCCAGCAAGGCTGAGGGACAGAGGGTGGGGGATCCACACTGAAGGAAGGATGGGGCGGGCAAGACAGCGGACTCCCAGGTTCAGAATCTGAGCCTATCAACTTCGAGTAGCTCTTTCCGCTGCATGTTGGGTCATCTGGGGAGCATCAGGAAATACTGATTAAAGGATCCCATTCTACAACCACCTGATCCAAATTTTTGGAGGTGAGAAGCATAATTTTTTTCTTTTTTCTTTTCTCCAAGCTTCCGTGTGATTTGACTGTGAGGCCACAGATGAGCCTATTGACCTAGGGGATGGGAAGCCACTCAGATGTTTAGGACAGACTGTGCGTACTGAGTGTGTTTGTGGGGAGATGGGTGCTGCGATTCCTCTTACACCTCACAAAGCACCCTTTGGCTGGAACTGTGGAGTGAAGAATGCAGAAGATTAGGGGAGTTCAACAAACAGAACTATTTTGTGACAACTAAGTGATGCCAGTTTGGATGAGGATAACGTCAACAGAGAGAAAAAGTAATGGATGTGTCTAAGGGATTTCTAGTTATTTAAACACTGAGACTAGGGGAATGGTGAAATGACAGACTCAGTAAGGAAAAAGAAGAGCAAATGACCACTAGGCTTTGCTTACACCACAGGATGGGTTGTTGAGCCATTCGCTGGCATAGTGACAATGACCCAAACCCCAATACCTAGCGTGGGGGAGGGGCTTTGATTGTAGCACATGTATTACACTTTAATTTCATCACCATTTACTTCTTTACATCTCTTTTCTCTAGGTCGTCAATATATTTGCCAACCTTTGCTATTTATCATTTGTTAAGACAAACCACAATAGACTGGGGATTTAGCTTAGGGGCACAAGCACCTGCCTGGCAAGCACAAGGTCGTGAGTTCAATTCCCAGTACCGGAAAAACAAACAAACAAACAAAAAAAGACAAACCACAATAATAGTGACAGCCAAAAACTACTGAGCTAAGAGTGGGACTAACTATTGAACTTCTTAAACTCAAGTCATTGGCCTACTCAGTCAGCTCTCAACTGTAATTTCAAGGAGCCTGTTGACAAGTTAACTTTCCAGAAACTATGCATATTTTCTAGCAAAGCTATTTCTGTTTCATGTTGTCCTTAAAATTGTGTTTTGTTGCATACATGTATTTAAGACATCTAGTGACAGGTAACAGCAATGCCATTCCAGTGAGCTTACACAGAAAGAAACTTTTATTTTAAGGGTATAAATGTATCTTATGTAATAGAGTACAAGAATAAATCTGCAGCTAGGTTTCAGGAAAAACAAGAATCATGAATTCATGACTTCACAGTTCACTCTCCTCAGTTCTTCCTCTCCGCACACCTGCTTTGTTCCTCCTTCTCTCTCCTCATAAACCAGCTTCCATCATTTTTCTTGTCAGCAGAAAAGGAATCATATCAACTGACAGCTCCTGAGGCTCTAAGTCCTACAGCACAGACTTCCTGACTCTCTGAGTACAAAATCCAAACTCCTGGAGGAAGAACCCTTTGGTTCAGTTAGGCCAGCTGTCCTCTTCTAAACCAATTAGCTGTGGCCAGGAAGCAGGACCTGGGGGAAGAGTTATTATTATCCCACCTTGATTCATGTACCCTGATGCACCCAGACTGGATGTTCCCATGATAGCTCAATGGGAGGAGAGGTGTCCCATCTTACTTTAAGATTGGGGCGGGTACAAGACCAGAAAAAAAGAAGCCAAGCAAACAGTGCAAGTGTGCCCTTAACTCTTGCTGTCACTGGAATCTTCAGCATCCCCTAAATGCCCATGAAGTAAAAGCTTATTCCCCCAAGTGCTACTATTGAGATATGGTGATACCTTTGGGATATGGGGGCCTAGCAAGAGGCCTTGAGGTTATTAGCGGTGTGTCTTTGAAAGGGAATGTGAGACTCCAGTGCCTTCCTCTCTCTTTTACTTCCTAGATATAAAGTGAGAGATTTTGCTTCACCATGTAGTTCTGCCATAATGTACCATCACCAGCCCAAAGCAACGGCACCAAGCAGTCATGGACTGAACCCTCTAAAAGAAACTGTGAGCCAGGGGCTGGGGATTTAGCTCAGCGGCACAGCACCTGCCTGGCAAGCACGAGGTCGTGAGTTCAATTCCCGGTACCAGAAAAAAAAACAAACAAAAAACCGTGAGCCAAGACAAGTCTCTCTTTTATTATCTGAAGTATTATGATGGAAAGCTAACCTGCATCTCAGCTGAGTAAATTGATGTATGTCAGCCACAAAACCTAAATGAAGATAACTCTAAGAGTGCAGGTTCTATGAATATTTTATCTCTCCAGGTTTTCATTAAAAATTTAATATGGCAACTACAGTTTCCAAAAGTTCTAAAATTCCATATTAGATAATGATCAATGCCAATAGATTTGCACTTGTATATGATTTGGAATATGAGGTTGCATTTGTACATGATAATTTTCAACAAAGCAGTGCAATAATTTTGAAATTATGTTGACTTTAAATATCATTTGCATTTCTGTAGATAACAATTACATAACACATTCTAGTTCATTTGATTCTCATTTGATTAACAGGAGGACTCCTCCAAGCCCTAAGAGAAATAGCAGAAGTAGAAATTTCAGTTGCATCTGGGAAAATATGTACTTTGTTCCCTTCGAAATACAAGAGAACATGTTAGATGACAAGTCATAAAGATGCTGATTTTGATAGTGTATTCCTTTGAAGCTCTAAGATAAAATAAGGGCTGTATGTATTAGTGGTGGTGAAAATGATCATAAATAAAGATCTCTTTTGAGCTTTTTTTATGGTTAGGCATGGAAAAACATCAGGAAATAATTAGGCCGACATTCTCTCCTGGCTTCCAGAAAGAAGGGAGATAGACTCTACACCCCAGGTGTTCACAACCTATGGACTTTGCCTCCAGGAACTAACATTGTAGTTAGGACTAACTATATGGCTAAGAACATTTATGAATAATCCATTCTTGAGTGCCACACAGACAACTTACTTCAGTATAAAAAGAAGTTAGGAGCTGAGAGTCCAAGCAGGCTTGAATTTCAGGGATGATTTGTCAAGTTCAGTAGATGTTTTTTCTTGGGTGTCCTTGTACCTTATTGTGAGCACATGCTGTGCTATCTTTCTGTATTTACCTTTAACTTCAACCTTCACCTGCTTGATGGCCCCTATCATTCTTCCAGTCTTGTTCTCATTTTTAATATCCCCCCCCCAAGGGGGCTCACAAAACTCAAGACTAAAACATCACATCTGTGGTTTAGGGGTATGGGTTTCAGTCTTGACCCTGCTCCATCCCTTCAGTGTAACTTGGGGGTAAGGAAATTTTTTAATCTCTCTAGGTTTCTATTTCCTCAGCCGTAAGCCAAATGAGGAAGAATTATGTAGATACTAAATTGTCCTCCAGGTACTAAATTATTAATCTATATGAGAACTACTCTCAGATGTATTTGAATCTTTACAAGGTGGAATACAATTTCTATTATTCTCCAGTATAATTTACAGCAAGAGTCAGCAATTTTTTTTCTGTGAAGAGCAAGATAGTAAATATTTTAGGTATCGTGGGTCACATAATCCCTATTGCAACTGTTGAACTTAATTCTTCCAGGGTAGCATAAAAGCAGCATATACAACTTCAAAAGTTATTTATTTATTTATTTATTTATTTAGGGTCAAGGTCTCACTATGCAGCTCAGGCTGGCCTCAAAATTGTAGTGATCCTCCTGCCTCAGTCTCCCAAGTGCTGGGATTATAGGCATGAGCCACCACCCACACTAGGCTCTCAAAAGTTATTTAAAAAGTAGGCAGTGGACTGGGCAGGGGTCCACAGGATATAGCCTGCAGACCCTGGTTTAGGGTATGCTATCTGGAAACAAAGGCCTGAGCTCAAAGCCCAGCTCTTTTCCTTAACTATAAAACGGGAGACCGGTATTGCACATACCTGGGGGGGAGGGGGTCATTTGTGCAGACTAGATGATTGGCATGCACAAGGATGAACTCCTCTGTTCATGGACTTTCCACCTGTGAGCATAGACACAGTCCAACCTTCTTAC